ATACTATGTTGAATAAAAGTGATGAGAGTGGACTTTATTGTCTTGTTCCTGATCTTAGAGGAAAAGCTTTCAGCTTTTCTCTTTTGAGTATGGTGTTAGCTGTGGGTTTGTCATATATTGCCTTTCTTACGTTGAGATCTGTTCTTTCTATATTCACTTTAAGAGTTCATGTCATAGATGTATATTGAGTTTGGTCAAAATGCATCTATTAAGGTGATCTTAGGATTTTTATCCTAGTTTGGTAATACGGTATATCACATTGATTAATTTGCAGATACTGAACTTTCCTTGAATTCCTGGAATAAATCCCAGTCAATTGTGCTATATGATCTTTTTAATGTATTGTTGAATTTTATTTGTTAATATTCTGTTAAAGATTTTTTTCATCTAAGTTGATCATGAATATTGGCCTTTAATGGTGTGTGTGTGTGTGTGTGTGTGTGTGTGTGTGTGTGTGCGCTCGCGCACGCAAGTGCGCGCAGTGTCTTTGCCTAGTTTTGCTATCAGGGTAGTGCTGGCCTCGTGAAATAGTTTGAAAGCATTGCTTTCTTTATAATTTCTTGGAATAATTTGGGAAAACTAGGTATTAACTTTTCTTTAGATGTTGATTAGAATTCACCTGTAAAGCTGTCTGGTCCTGGACCCTTGGTTTTTGAAAATTTTTAAATTACTGACTCACTTTCATTTCCTGTAATGCCTATTCTGATTTTCTATTTCTTTATGATGCAGAGTTAGAAAGCTGTTCATTTCTTCTAGGTTTTCCAAATTTTTGGCATGTGACTGTTCATAGTAATCTCTTAGGATACTTTATATCTGTAGTATCATTTTGTAAGCTCTCCTCTTTCATTTCAGGATTTCATGTTCTCTTGTTTTTATTGATGAATCTGGCTTAACATTTATTGATTATCTTTTCAAAGAATGAGCTCTAATCCGTTGATCTTTTCTATTTTTTTTTCAGTCTGTTTCATTTATTTCCATTCTGACCTTTATTATATCTTTTCTTCTAACTTTAGGCTTTGTTCTTTTTCCCTAGTTTCTTCAGGTATAAAGCTGGATTGTTAATTTGGGATTTTTGTTTGCTTACTTGCTATATTACTATAGCAATTACAATTACTCTCTTAGAGCAATATTACTATTACTCTCTTAGAATTGGTTTTGCTGTATCCCACAAATTTAGGAGAGTTGTGTTTCCATTTTCATTTGTCTCATGGTATTTTTATTTCCCCTTTGATTTTGTTTTAATCCATCGGTTGTTTAGTAACATGTTTAATAAATGTGTTTAGTTTTTTCCAGGTCTTCTTGTAATTGATAACTAGTTTCATACTGTTGTAATTGGAAAAGATGCTTGTTTTGATGTCACTCTGCTTGAAGTTAATGAGACTTGTGACCTATCCTGGAGAATGTTCCATGTGCATCTTTAAAAAAAATGGGTGTTCTGGAGTTTTTGAATGAGATGTTCTATGGATATCTATAATGGGTCATTTAAGGCCACTGTTCCTTATTGGTTTTCTGTCTGGATGTTCTACCCATCAATGAAAGTGTGGAGTATTTAAGTCTCCTACTGTTAGTCTATTACTATCAATTTCCCCCTATGTCTTTAAATATTTGCTTTATGTAGTTAGATGCTTCAATGTTGGGTTGCATGAATAGTACAAACATCATATCCCTTCCTTGGATTCACTCCTTTATCATTATGTGATACCTCCTTTGTCTTTTGTTACAGTTTCTGTTTTAAAGTCTGTTTTGTCTGATATGAGTATTTTATACTATCTTTTTATTTTCATTTACATGGAATATCTTATTTTCCTTCACTTTCAGCCTCTGTGTCTTTAGATCTGAAGTGAGTTTTTGTAGGCAGCTTAAAAATGGTCTTATTTTTTATCTGTTTTGCCACCCTATGCCTTCTTTTTTCTTAGAAGTGTTTTATTTTAAATGTATATAATATGAACATGACTATGCAGATTTTCCATTTCATCTTTTGTTGATTTGGTAAGTTTTATTTTTCAAAGAATTGATCCATTTCATCTAAGTTTTGAAAATTTCTGGCATACGTTTTTATTGTAATAATGATATGGTACTTTTTAAATGTCTGCAGAATCTTTGGTGAAATCTTATTTTTCATTTCTAACAGTGGTAATTTGTGTTTTCTTTTTTCTCCATTGAAGCACTCCATTTAAATTTGAAGTAATTACTGGTAGGTATGTACTTATTGCTATTTTGTTCATTGCTTTCTGGTTCTTTCTGTGTTTCCTCCATTCCTTTCTTCTTCTTCTCTTCCCTTTTGGTTTATTTTCTTTTTTTTTAATTATTATTTTTTTGGCTTACTTTCTTTACAGTTATATTTGGATTCCTTTCTCTTTTGTGCATCTATTGTAGGTTTTTGGTTTATGGATATCATAAGGTTCATATATATACATACACACACACACACACACATATATATATATTTAAGCTGTTAGTTCAAGTTCAAATGCATTCTAAAATACTACATTTTTGTTCCCCCATCTGTTTTTTTTTTTTTGATGTCTTATTTTACATCTTTTTATCTTGTGTATCCCTTAAATGCTTATTGTAGTTATAGTGGCCTAACCTGTTTTTGTGTTTAACTTTCATACTAGTTCTTTAAGTGACTCTTTACTACCTTTACTGCCTATTTGCCTTTACTAATGAAATTCTCTCTCTCTCTCTCTCTCTCTCTCTCTCTCTCTCTCTCTCTCTCTCACACACACACACACACACACACACACACAGAGAGATATGACCTACTGTTTTCTTTTTATCATTTCTTATAAGTCCAGTCTAGTGGTGATTAACTTCTTCAGTTTTTGCTAGTCCAGGAAACTCCATATTTCCTCCAATTCTGAATGATAACCTTGTTAGGTAGAGTATCCTTATTGTAAGTTTTTCCTTTTAGCACTCCAACTATATCCTTCCACTCTCTTCTGGCCTACTAAGTTTCTGCTAAAAATCAGCTGATAACCTTATGGGGTTTCTATGTATATGGTTATCCTTCTCTTCCTGATTTAAGATCCTCTTTTTACCTTTAACTTTTGCCATTTTAATTGGCATACTATGTCTTGGTATGAATCTCTTTGGATTCAACTTGTTTGGGACTCTGTGCTTCCTGAACCTGGATGTCTGTTTCCTTCTCCAGCTTAGGGAAGTTTTTGGCCATTACTTATTCACATGAGTTTTTCTGCCCATTTCCTTCTCTCTCTTCTTCTGGGATCCTTATAATGTAAATGTTAGTATGCTTAATGTTATCCCATGGCTACCTTAAACTATCCTTATATTTTTTATTTTTTCAATTTGTTTCAGTGTTTGTGTCATTCAGTTTGGGTGATTTTCACTATTCTGTCTTCCAGATTGCTATCCCATTCTTCTGTTGTATATACTCTACTGCTGATTTACTCTAGTTTATTTTCCATTTCAGTTTGTATTCTTTGGCTCTGCTTTTTTTTTGTTTATATTTTCTAACTCTTAAAGTTCTCCATTCTTCCATTTTGTTGATCATCATTATAACCATTACTTATCTCTGTTTTATTAAGGTTTTGGGGTAGGGGGTATTTTGTTTTTTCATTTGGAACATAATTCTCAGTTCCTCATTTTGCTTCACTCTTTTTTTTTTTTTTCTATGAAATAGGCAGAATGATCATGTCTCTCAGTCTTAACAGTGTGGCCTTGTGCAGGAGCATCCCCTGTGTAAACTGTGTGCCTGGTGGCTTTGGTAGAATGACTGGCGCTGTAGCAGGCATGGGTCATGAGGTTCTAGGGTGTACTGTGCTGGGGCCACCCTGGTAAGACAGCTGGACCTGGAGTGGGCCTGGGCCAGGAGATCCTGTCACACACAGTGCCTTACAAGATGGCTGAGTCTGGAGTGGGTGCGTGCCAGGGGTTCCTGGTGTATATCATGCCAGGGCAGTCTAGGCCACCTTGGCAGGATGGCTGGGTAAAGCATGGCCTGGAGAAATCCTGTGGCATGTCACTCTGGGGCCTCTTGGCAGGACAGTTGGAGCTTGGGAGGGCACAAACTGGGGGTTGCAGGGTGGGGTGGTTCTTCTAGGGGCAGCTGGAGCTGTTGTGAACTAGGGGCACAGGACTTGCTTGGGGCAGCCCTAGTAAGCTGGCTAGAGCACTTGGACTCTGCTCCCATCAATGCTATTAAGATGGAAGGAGAATGCAAAAAATGGCACTTACCAGCATCTCCAGCCCCAGAAAGCGTTTCAGTAGCTCCTTGTCTATTTAGTAGATGATCTAGGATTAGTTAATGCATTTTCTTCACTTACAAACTAGTTGCCTTTTAAATAGCTGGTTTTTGCTGTGCCCTTAGATAGGGAAGTCTGTATGTGGGCCCCTCCATGAGGTTGTTGCATTGGGAATGAGGCTCCTATTGTTACCATGCTCCCATCTTTTTACCCTTCTCCATGTAGTCCCTCTATCGTTTGTCATGCAGAAGCTGTTCAATCAGCCCTCACTTTTTCAGGAGGAATTGCTGTATATGTAATTGTAGATTTGGTGTGTCCATGGGAGAAGATGAGTTCAGGGTCTTCCTATGCTGCCGTTCTGGACCCTCTGTTCAAAGAATTTAGGTTGATGATGGCATTTAGGGTGCTGTGACAGAATGGAGCAAACTTGGGGGTAAAGAGGGATAGAATGATAAAATCATTGAGTTTTTATTACTAAGCAAGAATTGGTAACTTTCATAGAAAGGCAAATAAATGCTTAAATTTTACCCAGAGTGTTCTTTTTCTTGGGGAGGCAGGAAAGGGGAGAAAACATGTTCTCTATAATGAACGTTAATGGGCATCACTTAGAAAATTCATATCAGAAAAAAATTATACTAAAAAAAACTATTACATTTAAAGGATGATGTTTCAGTAGGCTTTTTCACCTCCCTCATGACCTATTAAGAGGATACTTAGAAAACATAATAGATTCTTAATAAATGGTCATGAATAAGGTGATATTTCAAAGATCCTATCTTGCTGATTCTTTGGCAGAAAAAACAGTTCGAATGAAAAAGAAATGTGAGTTTGGAATGGCATCCACAATCCCGGGTAGACATGTCTGGAAAGACACGTGGAATCCTGTCTCTTGTAGTTTGGCTCCAATCAAAATGAAAGAATGCCTAAGAGGGAATTTTATATATCTAATGGGAGATTCCACAATCTGCCAGTGGATGGAATATTTCAAAAACAGTATCAGCAGTATGCCACAGTCTAAGCTACTATTTATATCTCTTAAAGAAATTACTTTTATTTCAAGGTAGCAATAAGAAAGGCTTCTTCTTCATATTTCTTAATCACAACATACTCAAACTTTTCCAGACATCCCTTCCCTTTCCTTTAAAACAATATGTTTATCTGACTGGAAGGGAGCAAGTATAGAAAAGGTTTATTACATTGCTATCCCTGTAGAATACATGCCTCAGTTTGTATCCAGCATGCTCAGAAAATTGTTAACAGAGCTGAAAATACCATAAGATATTGCCCATTTTCTACAGTTGGGATGATGCTTAAGAGTGTGGATTTTAGATCCTGTTGCCCTGGAAGCAAAATTTGACTTCTCCATGTCCTACCTGGATAATATGGTGCAATTTACATAACTAGTGTCCCCCTCAGTTTCTTCATCTGTAAAATGCAGATGAAAATAGTACCCACCTGGTAAAATGAAGTATTATATACAATGCATTTAGAATTGTTTGTTACATAGTGAAGTTCTCTTTGGTATAAGCTATCATCACTGTATCATTGCATGAAAAGAGAGATGCCAGGAGCAAGGTGATGACTTTGCATCAGTTAGAATTAGGCACAAAAAAAAAAAAAAAAAAACACATGCTTTTAAGTATTATCATATATAAACTCTGCCTCTTAGGAGCCATGACCTTTGGCATGTTACTTATTGTCAGTGCATCATTTTCCTCATCGATCAACTCCACATGATACTACCTGGTAGTTATAAATACTAAATGAGATAGTAGTTATAAAATTTTTAACACACTGCAAGGCACACAGACACATAGAAAGTGCCTAGAAAACTTCAATGCAGTTATCTAACATCCAGGTTGGGGCTAGAATCCAGTGGCTAGAATCTTAGTCCTGTTCTCTATTTACTAAACCAAGGATGCACAAAAAGTAATTCAGAACTCACTAGTAGATCTTAGCATTCTTACCTATAAAACTGTTACTGTTTGCCCATTGTGTCCTGGGTCGTGGCTATCATCACTGGGGACAGTGCACCTTATGTGGCTCTCTTATGGCCTTTCTGGAATGTTGCCACTCTTGTGATCTCAAACTTAGAAGGTAAGCTTATCCTCCCACTATAGAATCAGTAGGGCCTTGGCTCCGAGCAGTATGTAGAATTCCCACCAGAAGGGATGAGTTTTAAATTGTGACCTCTGAACTCCTCCACACCTCAGTTTGGTGGTAATCTTTAAACAATTAAGGGTCTGGTGGTAATCTCTAGCATCACATTCAGTACCAGTGGATCTCTTAGGTTATAGAAAGTACTGAATTACTGAGTTACCTCCCTCTTTGTCTAATCTTTTAAATTGTAGCAAAATGTGTGTTACACATTTTGTTAAAAGTTAAATCTTACAGCATGCTTGGGGCAAGGATATTGAAGTAAATTAGCAGCAGAATGAAGACAATGATACTGCCATTTTCATTCAGCTAATGCTCCAGTGTCTTCATTTTCAAACCCCCTGGGTTAAAACTTTAAATGTAGCCCTTTACTTCAAAGATGGCACTTGTTACAAAGCATTAATAATCCTCTTATATATATTTTCCTTAGAAGTTCTAACTACAAAGCAGCTGGCCCCAATAAAGGTCTAATTTATGGGATGAAAACTTGAAGGACATCATTTTATTCTGTTCATATTACATTTTCATAGGTTCTAAGATTGGGTAGACTGTTTTCACAAGAATTGGGAGGAAGTTCAAACTCAAGTGCAGATTCTGTCACTAGCTGTATAATCTTGAGCAGATCATTCCATCTCTTGGTTTTCTATAACATGGCAGTTAAATTGTGTGGGTGGGTGGGTGGGTGGGTGTAGACACAGTAGTTCCCCCCTCACCCCCTTTTATCTATGGTTTCACTTTCCACAGTTGGAGTTACTCACAATCACCTGTGGTCTGGAAGCAGAAGATAATCCTCCTGACATATTGTCAGAAGGTCAGTAGTAGCCAAAGGCCATGTCACAGCACTTACATCATTCGCCTCATTGCATCTCATCATGTAGGCGTTTTATCATCTCAAATCATCACAAGAAAAGAAAAAGGATGAGTGCAGTACAACAAGATCTTTTGAGAGAGAGATCACATTTATCTAACTTTGTTCCAGTATATTATAATTATTCTCCTTTTTATTGTTCATCTCTTACTGTGCCTAATTTATAAATTGAACTTTGTCATAGGAATGTACGTATAGGAAAAAACCTAGTATATATACGGTTCAGTGCTATCTGCAGTTTCAGGCACCCACTGTGGGTCTTGGAATGTATTCTTAATGGATAAGGGGGACATGTGTGTGGAAAGGAGGAGCACGCTTTGAGGTGAATGAATGTATAAATCCAAATAAATGCTTTGTAAACTATGAAGCCCTTCACAAATGGATAGTAAAACCATTATTATAGATGACATGCTCAATCCCATTCTAAGAATAGGTAAAGGAAATGCAGAAGCAGAGAATACAATTCCAGTCTTAAGGAAACAGAGTATTAGGTTTATTTGGTTTTTGAAATGTATACTTGAATTAGTACTTTCTCTGTCCTCAAATAAGCTTAATCTACAGCTCACAAAATGTACAAAAATAATACCTAAAAAATTACATCACACTCCAGTGAAGTTACTTGAATGCTTTCCATCCCCAATTTGCTTTTGCATGGTTCTACAAGGGAGCATGTATAATTTCTTATCTGCGTAGCACTTTTGATTCAAATAGTCTTCAAAGCTATTCTTTCAGTTGAACCAGTAATAAATCAGTCATGATTAACTTATGATAAACACCAAACCTTTTCTTCTGTCTTTATGATCTTTATAATTTTACACTTCTTTCATTTTGGGGATTACCTGTCATCAGCACTGAAGTCAATGGATCTGCCTGAGGCTGGAAAATTTCAATACTAACTTGCTGTGGACTTGGATGAGAATATCAACATTCAGTGGCAAAAACATGGTTATCCCTTGATTGGATCATTGACCTATTCAGTGAAAGAAATTGAGTACATTGCCAGAGTCATTGACAGAACTGGAGGAGATAAACACACTGTCATTGTTATTTCTCTGGGCCAGCATTTCAGACCCTTCCCCACTGATGTTTTTATCTGAAGGGCCCTCAATGTCCACAAAGCTGTTCAGCATCATCTTCTGAGAAGCCCAGACATTATGGTTATCATCAAGGCAGAAAACATCAGGGAGATGCACACCGATGTGGAAAGATTTAGTGATTTTCATGGTTACATCCAGTATCTTGCCATTAAGGACATTTTTCAAGATCTCTATGTGGGCATCATTGATGCCTGATAAAACAATTGCATATCGCAAAATAGTGTCCACCCGCCTCAATCTGTAGTCAGAAATCAAATTAATATATTGTTAAACTGTATTTGCTAGCTAACATCTCTGAAATTTATTTACTTAATTAAAAACATTTATGAAGTGTTTGCTGTCCTGTCAGATGCTGTATTTGGCTCTGCACTCCCAATCAGCATGAAATAATCTACACTATGGCTAATCCATACACCACCAATTCAACCAAATCAGTTCTTTCTAATTGGGCTTCTACTTAAGAGGAAAAAAAAAATTAATGCTCATGAAAGGGACCTACACTTCTTGATAAGAGTCCTGCCACTCTTCACAAATGGGAAGTCAATACTTCTAATGCAAGAATGTGGAGAAATGGTTAAAATTTCTGATTCATGGACATTCAGTGCAATAAAGTCATAAAATATTTGGAGAAAGTCCCATTTTCTTCTTTCTACCGTGAAAGACCAACTCAAGATGATTGCCAAGTGGCAAGAGGAGTCTTGTGAGGTAATTCACCATGTCCTCAATCCTAGAAGAGCAGCGTTCCAAGTGAGGTCCCCTGGATACTAAAATCCGTTGACTTGTCTCTCCTTTTGAGAACTCCCACTGCTAGGAGCTAACCTGATTTGATAGAATTTATCCTCCAGGAATATAGAATAGCAGGTGAAAGCACAGTGCCCTAGCATTCAAGAAGCTGAGCTGCAGTCCTTTTGTCAACAGTAATTTTACAACTTTGGATAACTTCAGCTCTCTGGGCCTATTTCCCAAATAAAGGAGTTGGTCCAAGATTTGTGATTTTCAAACCTTACTCTGTACAAATCTGGGTGCTATAGGTGGTCCCTCAGGTACTGCTTGGAGGAACAGGACTTAGGTGCCTGGTGGGCAGGATCCAAGTTCTGCTACGCCATTTCAGCCAGCATATCAGCCATGTTGACCTATATGTGTGCTGGACTTCTGGGAAGGTTTTGATTTGAAAAGGCTCCACTACTTAAAACTGTTTGAAAACCAATAATCAAAACGTTGGTTTCTGTAACCTACACATGGAGGTTTAACATTTTACTCTCTCACTTGGATTTTAACAGACCTTCCCAAAACTTAATCATTTAAATCATTTAAAAATTTAAAATTTAAAATCATTTAAAAAAATAATGATTGATAGAATTTCAGTTGGAAAGGGAAATATCATTATCATAAAAACAACCTGGCAGCATATTCTTCCTTAATTTTTCACTCCAAACCATGCCCACATACTTCTGGGCCTCTGACCTACTCTTGCTGCTTCTAGGAAAGAACAATTATAGTAGAAACATCATAAATCTATTTATCCAGTTTCCTCTGGGTAAAGGATAATAAATTTTTACTTATTTGCCCAGGAACAAGGGTTCACAGTTCAGTGCCCAGTCCACATTCAGATGGTCAAAAATTTTATCCATCATGCGCCAGGAACTATTCTAGTCTCTAGTCATAAAGTGGTCACAAAGGCAGATGAATTCTCTGCCATGAAAGAATTTACGTTATAAGAAAGAATAATGTAGATATAAAATAATTCCGACCTGCTCAAGTAGTATAAACAAAGTATATAATGTTATGTAATGCACAATGATGGCATGATGGTGATGGAGGTGACAAATAGAGTTAGAGAAGACCTCTCAGGGGAAAGCACTTCAAGTAAGATCAAAATACTGGAAATGAGGCATCCATGAGAGAAAGTAGGGACAGAAAAAATGACAATTGCAAAACCCACGAGACATAATGGAGCTGGGTTTATTTAAGGAACAGGGATCATTATGCCTGGAGTATTGGCAATGCAGGAAATATGGAGGGAGAAGTTACAGAGGAAAGCAGGAGCCCAATCATGTATGGCCTCTGTAGCCTTTGGCAAGGAGTTTGAATTTTATTCTGATTACAATTGGAAGGCAGTAGAGGGATGGAAAAATAGAAAGAAGGAGCAATAGAGCAAGAAAATAGAGTGTAAGGGAGGGAAGAACTGGTTACCTTAACTCGGGCATCACCATAGACTGTTCCAGTTGCTAAGGTCAGAATGAACAAGAGTTGTGAAACCATGGAAACCTGGAACAGCATGTGTTGTTGTCTATTAATAAAGTGATTTTCCACAATCACTCTTCAAGTGAAGTGAGAATGGATAAGAGGTATTGGAGGTCATGTTAAAGGGCAGATTTTTAAAGAGAACACACAGAGGACTATAATTTTAGAACAGAGACTAAAAATTAGAATGAGACCTAGAGATTTTTTTTTACGAAAAGAAAGAGAAATATGTTTGTAACATATAAATCCTAAGAGAAATGTAAGCTCAGATAGGACAATACTTTCAGAACAGCTCTCAGAAGTTTGCACTTTTGGTTCTTCCAAAAACGGAATCATTGTAAATATAGAAGTAACTGTTGCTATGCCTCCTTGACATTAGATGTGGTCATTTCCTGTCTGAGATGACTGCCGAGTATGTACCCAGAAATGCAAGTTGGTCTTCCAACGGGATGAAAAGGTAAAAATGACTGGCACCCAGCCTTTTAGATAGAATGAATTGTTACACATGGAAAACTACTCCTGAAAGAAACAAAGAGGTGAATATTTCCAAGGGAAACCATTATCAAGGGGCAAGGGTGTTAAAGAATATACTGAGAAGAAACTGAGAAGGTAAGTGTTTTTTAATTACATATATGGGGACCTTTCCAAGGAAAATGTTTCAAAAACTGGTATTTTCTAAGTACCACTTAGTGCTGAATTCCTGTAGTTAGACTCTCTCATGGTTGTATAAGTTTGGATCCAATTAGAAGGTAGAAACGATACAGTGAACTAAACTGAGGAAGTCCCATCTAGAGAATTATCAAACTCTGGTAAAGGAGTGACTGTAATATATAAGGAAATCATATGGTACTCTTAGAGTAGAGGGAGGGAATCCAAGGAAAGAGCAACTTGGAAGGGATCCTCCCATGGCTGAGGGTCAGACCTTGTTGGTGAAAGTAACAGAGATTGTTGGTTTTCCCAGACCACAGTTCATGGGCTGTTGCTAGGCAAGCAGAAAACACCTTCTGTGTGTTTTCTGGGTACAGGTGATGGTGGCCAGGGTACAGGTGAGTGGCAAGCAGAGGCATGGGCATGCAGAGCAGGTGGGGATCTGGAACACAGGCAAACTGTGCAGGAGACCTGCAGAAGTAATTGGTGCCCAGACAAGGAGGAGGTCTTTGTAGAGAGAAAGCTTTGTGGCATCATTTCCTGTGTAGGAAAGGCCAGGGTAGATTGTCACTAGTTCAGAACAAGTCTGCAAGGCAATAAAATGATGGATAGGTTCTGGGAGCAAGCCTGGGGAAGAGCTCCACCAGATGGTCCCACACCCAAAACACCAACCCACTGCATAGCCACTGGAAATAGCAGGATAGCACCTTCCTCCTCTAATGTCTTTCCAGTGCCCTCTCTTGAGAAAGCTAAACAATGTGCTCATTGTACAGGAGGCATGCTTGAGAGAATTCTGTCCATTATTGCAGAGAGTATATTGAAGGGAATGTTTGGACATGAGAGAAAAATTGATAACTGTTACAGTCTTTAGTGTATTCCTTTTTTTCCTTAGGAAAGAATACCATGCTCTAATAATACTTCACATCTTTAAAAAAATGAACAAAAACTTAAAAATCTATATGTATAAATATATACATGTATTTGTATGTGTATGTCCATCCCTGAAATTACATTTCTCTTCAGTTACCGTCACACATCTCTCCTCTTTGAACAAAGCCTGCTTCAAAATGTGATTGTTTATTCACTGTCCTCATGACTCATACTCTCTGTTACAACACATTCCATGTTGGCTTATGTTCTACACTGCTCCTCTTAAGGTCACCTTTGTGTTGTCAAATATAATGGCCACTTGTCTGTGTTCATACCATTCAACCTCTTGGTAGCATTCAAGTTGAATACACCTTCTTTATTCAGACCCTCGCTTTCCTTTGTGTAACATGATTTTCTGTGTTTTCTGCCTGCCTGCCTGCCTGCCTGCCTAGAGACTTTTTCCCCCTCTCGTTTGCCCATTCCACCTCTATTACTTGGCCTCTAAATTTGGAAATACCCTGGAGTTCCATCCCCTTCACTGCTTTGCCCTATCTACACTTTCATTCTGGGTAATATCCACTCTCTGGTTTACATACTGCCTAAAATTTCAATGACTTCTAAATATTCATCTCCAACTCTGATCTCTTGATTGAGTTTAGGAATTGCATAACCAATTGCCTACTGAACTCTATTATCTAGGAGGCATCTCAAACTCACCATGATCAAAGTAGAATTATTGATTTATATCCCAAAACACCTTTGTCCGAGTCTTCTCCAATTCACAAAATGTTAGCAAGACTCATATAATAGAAGCTATTCTTTATTCATCCATTTCTCTCACCTCAAAATCCTGTCATATTTTGTTAAATGTAGATAATCTATCTCTTCTGTACTTTCATTGCTATCATCCTGGCTCAGGCCACCTCTCTCCTGGAGTTAGGCAACAACTGGTCTTTCTCCTTATAATCTTGAAACTTCTTCAAGGCATTCTCTACACAGCAGTCAGATTGATTTTTTGAAACTGTAAATTGTGTTATTTCACTTCCTTAGATAAAATCTTTCAATGGATTCTAAATTCAGCCGCAGGGCAAGTGTCTCCTAAGAGATAATTTTTCCTGACCACACAAACTAGATGTAGGTCTCTCCATCTATCAGTTATATTATCATGTTCCCTTTTTATGTGACTATCACTATCTAAGATGATCTTATTAAGTTAGGTTTATATGTGGTTTTTACCTGTTCTACTCAATGCTAGATTCTAAGCTCCCTGACTATAAAGGCCTTGTGTTGCTCACTAGATGTTTTGTCCACAGCATCTAGAAAACACCCAGACTATATTGGTTCAGTCTGTGTGTGTTGAATAAAATAAAGACTCCTTTTACATTTGTCAGGGAGGAAGCTGGATGCCACAGTGACTAATAGTCACTTATTAGCTAATAGCTAATAATTATACAGCTATTTATAGAATGGCATGTTATAAAGACATGTTCTCTTTCAGGAGGATATATCTAGATATTCCAGAAAGACTCCAAGATACATCAAGTCTGCAAAAAAAAAAAAAAAAAAGCCCATGAGATGTATATTATGAAATACTGTCAGGTTGTGAGTCAGAAATTTCAAATTTAGGGACAAAGGTTGTATTTTTCATGACTACCTATTGGTGACTGAAGCTTTAAAAGAGAAAGAAAAATATGAACATATGTTAACAGTTGTACCTTTGTGTTTGCCAGGAAAGATTTGCTCTTTTGGAACATGAACAATGATAATGCTCC